GGTTCTCTGAACCAGTCCAGCAGTGAGGAGCTGCTGCAGGANCAAGTTGACAAGAGGCCAAACAGGGAGTCACAGGCAAGGCATTATTGGGGCTTATGCTCAAGCACAAGAGTCAGCACAAAAGTTTCCTCACGCTGGCTCTCCAGTGCATCACAGAAAGTTTTATTTATTTTTTTATTAAAGAAAATGTAGTTTTATTAATATTACTTTTTTACATTCTAGGATGTTGCTGTGGAGCAGTTGAGCAGTTTGGGGGGAGCAGAAGGGAAAGGGGAAGGAAATGTGATGGAGGAAGGAGGGGCAGGATTGAAACCTGTGCCACCCCCCTCATTCCCACAGGGGAGACCAGGAACCTTCCAGCAGTGGCTTGGTCATTGCTGGGCTCGGTACAGATGTCAGGGGGGTGTGGCAAAAGCCCTTGCCCCCCATCACTCCAGCTCGGGAACCTGGGGCCCTTCTTGCTGAGGCTTGGTGGTCCTCACCTTGCTGGCTGTGGGTCAGGGGGGTGTGGCCGAGGCCTTCAGCCCCCCACTGCCCTGGCTCAGGAGAGCCTGGGGCGCTTCCTGCAGCAGCTCCTCACTGCTGGACTGGTTCAGAGAAAGTTTTAAAGGGGCTTGGTTGGGAAACGGGTGCCATCTAAGTATGTAGAGGTGGGGATTTCTTGGAGCTTGTGCACTTGGAGGTCATGTTTCTTCATGTGTTCTGTATCTCATTAGCATGTTAAATCTCCACCCGTGTTTGATTTTTAGTATTACAATGAAGGAAGAAGTCAGTGAAAGTTCAGCACTGGAGTCCATCTTGGCATAGGCTGGTTTGGTCCAGTTCACACAGCTGGATCTTTGCTTTTGTGTAAACATCCTACTCCTGCCTTCCTTCAAGATACTGCATAAGAGATACATGGCTTAGCCCATTTTTATATAAGTTGGATTCCCACAATTGATAGGCTCTTTGTCTTAGTCCTTTGTGGTCAAGGATAAGGACCTCGAAGTCCAGTCCCAATTCAGTCTCAAAACTACAATAGCTGAAACATCTGGAAAAAGAATAAATCGGTGGAAATCACTGCACTTGATATCACAAACATAATCAAGACTGTGTGGTACTGGTGGAGGTCAAGATATATTGATCAATGGAACAGAACAGAGATGACAGGAATAGCCTTCATACATGCACTTCCAACTGATATTTGACAAAGGTATCAAGACTACTATATGAAGAAATGATTTTTAAATAATGGTACTGAACCAACTGAATAAGAAAAATCTCCACCTAAACTCACACTTGTACAAATATTAGCTCAGAAGGGATCATATATTTAAATGAAAAGTGTAAAAGCACAAAACGTTAATGTAGAAGGATTTAGAAAAACAAACATACAGTAAGATCTCTAGGAATATAAGCTGCATGAAAAGGTCTTAGACTAGGCATCAAAAGCATGACTGATTTAAAAAGTTGATAAATAGGGCTTCATCAGTTAAAATTTTTGGTTTTAAAAGTGCTTGATAATAGGATAAATGGTCAAAAATATTAAGAGACATCTCATTGAAGCAGATACACAGAATAGGCTAATAAAAAGATTTTCCATATCACTAACCATCAAGAATCAACAGCAGCATTTTCTGCTTTTTCCATCTGAACCCATCTGCCTGTCTGAAATGTTAACAACATTAATAAGGTTTCATACCAAAGGAAAAAGAGAAGTGCTTCAACAGTTTCAAGTGTATGTGATCTCTCTCTTTTTGGTTAAAAAAATTGGGGAGAAAAAACTGATAGAATTGTTCTAAAAGGAGACTGTGGGGATGATGTCACAACTCTGTAAATGTAATGAAAAATAATTGAATAGTACTCTAAATATGAACCAATTTTATGATTTGTAAATTATGTCAATAAGCCTATTTATTTTTTAAAAGGCAATGTCACTTCTACACTCACTATAACTCTACTTCAGATTATTTAATGCACACAATTCCATACCTTCTAGATTCAATTTTGTCTTTCATAGTTTATTTTAATACTCATGACATTAAAATTAATAAAATTAAATTATGAATTTCTGTAGATAACCCCCAAATATAATCAAATAAATACATAAACTGTAATCAATAATACTTTCCTCTCTACTTTAAATTGGTCCCTCTCTTTCTGTTTCAGTTTCTATACCTGAGCTCCCCACAATATTGTGCAATCATTTCATAAGTCCAAATTCCTCTTGTATCATTTTTCTCCTAGGATTATGTGGTAATCAGTGTATCTAAAGATCTGTGTGAGGGCGGAGCTAAGATAACATTTCCTCCAGACTGTGAAAGAAATTTGAGACCAAATAAACGAAGGGGGCACCTCCATACACTTTAACAAAGAGTTCATTAATGGGTGACTTACATACAGGGAAGATCAGGCAGACCAGTGATCCTGACTCTTGATTATCTGCATTCCATAACATCTGGAGCATGGCAGGGTTTTACAAAGGCACTTGGGGACAAAAAACACGGTAGCAGGATAAAAGGAAGCATGTGGAAAAAATATGTTGACATAGCCAACCTTCAGATATTCTATGATCAGTGAGTGTTTAACTTGAGTACGAAAGGGGTAAACAGGAAACCTTTGATCTTTATCTTAAATTAGCCTAGCTTATCAGTCATTGTCTTAACCATGCTTGCTTTACTTTAGATTAATGTGTAACTTCCTAGTGTAGCTTTTGAAGGGGGTCGCAGAAAGAACAAATAAAGCTAAAAGGGGCCAAAAGTTGGATCTGGTATAGCCTGCACTCCCAAAGTTCATTTAACTATTAATTCATAGCTAGTATTTGCCTATGAAATAAGTGATAGATATAATAGAAATTTATCATGGGCACAATTAGGTATGAAGTAGAACCATTTAAAATACTACTAACAAAATAAGCACAGATGCTGAGTAGCTGAAGGACAGAAATAACTAACCGTGTTAGTGCTGTGGTTAAGAAACTTATCTTTGCAGCTAGACAACATGGACTCCATACTGAATTAGCCAATGAATGGAATATAATTCGGTGCATCTTTTAACCTGTTTTTGTCATACATTTCCTCATCTGTGAAATGCGAATATCATCAATCCTTATTACAGAAAGCTGAGAACTCCATTGGCTATTATACATAAAACATTATTAACAGTGATTCTTATTCAAAGAGTGATTAATATAAAAGAAAATATAAATGCAAACATAAAAATCACTTATTAAAGGAAATATATTTATTAGGTATTTCTGGATGGGAAAAAATTGAGTAAAGCATATTTGGTGTCAATTTCATTGGTAAAAGTAGCACCAATGTCATGTTTCCCTACAAAATCCTCTGGCTCTGAATAGGAATACCAGACAGTGCAAAGTGGTGGAATGGCCTCCAGGAATTAGGCAATGGAGTTTATCTTCTTGTCACAAAGTATACTTGGAATCTTAAGAGATTTTCCCTCTCATCTATCATTATATATTCATTTCCTTTGCTTGGTGCTAGTTAACTTCCATACAATTGATTTCAAGCACCTGATCTTAGCCAACACCCACATTAAGAGAGTTCAGTTCAGCACCTTGTATGATCTCAGTCCTTTCATTGAATTAAAGACTTAAAAAAAGTTCCTGTTTCATAATTATAGAGCAAAGAAACATTCCTGTTTCATAATTGTAGAGCACCTAGTTTGTACCTGCCATCGACTTACATGCAATTTAATGTCACAAAATTTCATCTTCAAACAAAGCCTTCATTTATGTAACCTAGTTTGTACCTGCCATCGACTTACATGCAATTTAATGTCACAAAATTTCATCTTCAAAGCCTTCATTTATGTTCCCCCATATTTTTCACTGAAATAACACATAGAAATCTACATTAAATATATAATCTAGATTACAATGTATAGAAGAAAAAGACAGTAAGAAAAATTAATATACATGAACAAAATACTTTTTTCTGCAGGTTAAAATGAGCTGTGTAATATATAAGCACCAAAATGTGAAACTGATATTCTTATTAACCTTTAGGAAAATGCTATTACAATAAAATTATTTAATTATACTGATTATGTAAAAAACATTTCCACACATTAACTTTTGCTAAACTACCATAAAAATATATTATGCAATTTATCTCAACACAATTTCAAAAGCATATTCAATCAAATTGCAGAATGGGACCTATGTGAGTAGCAGGAATAGAAATGTAGTAGGCTATGAGCATGAAAAAGATAACATAGGAGTAGCAAGAATCGGATTCACAGTTGTACTGAAGAATCTGACTCCATTTTTTGATGTCTGATGGAGTTTGGATGTGTTGACTCCTCCAAAACTCATGTGTAAATTTGATCCCCAATGTGGCAGTGTTGGAAACTGATTGCATCATGGCGGCGGACCCCTCATGAATGGATTAATGCTTTTCCTGGGGGAGGGGGGATTAATGAGTGAGTTCTCACTCTATTAGTTCCCATGAGAGCTCGTTGCCTAGAAAAAGATAACAGGAGTAGCAAGAATAGCATTCACAGTTGTACTGAAGAATCTATTTTTTGATGTCTGAGTATTTACACTTTTTAAGCCTCACCAGTACCTCTTCCTACTCTGCCCACCATGATAAGCTGACAATAAAGCCAAAAGTGGTCCCTTCTTTGGCAGCAGCTTGTTCAAAGCACATCTATGTACCCACAGTTGAGCCCTATATGGTCACTACCATAACACAAGCCAGTCATCTTTCCCTACTCTCTCAAGCTATTTGTGGACCAGTGTAGAAAGTCTACCTTGCTTTCAGCAGAAAGTCCTGTAAGAAACACATAATACTTTGGTATATGACACCTATACTTACTGACAAAGGAACCAAACTTTGGGTGATCAATCCAGTTCCAGTGGGGTGGTCACAAGTACAAATTACTAATAATGTAATGGGTGTGAATATATGAAGTTGGTAATTAATGGACAAAACAAAAACCCCATTATGTATGTTCATTCTTAAGAAAAAACTCTTGAACTTCAATCATTTCAAATGATTTCACTGAGCACCTAAGGACAAAAAACAGATCTCACTTTTCCCCTGATACATTTTCTTTTATTTTATAATATTTTCCATAACCTTACTATATGTTTTCATTTTATGTAAATTAAGTTCCATTCCACAAACAAGGAAAAGGTACTTAGAAAAAATTATAATATAGTACATTATGGTACATATTCATCAACAGTAATGCAGACTTTAGGGTGTCAGAGTCTGAAACCGCACTGCTATGGGATTTTCATTATGCCCACGTAAGTATACTAGGGCAGAGTGTGGAGAGAATAACTCAAGTGCAAGGCACGATTATATGTTCTCAAAATTGTACTTTGATTCTAACACAAAATTTTTTTTTCCTAGATCCTTCAGTTGAAGAAACCTAATAGTGTATTTGTTAGTATACTTTATTAAATATCCTTCCACTAAGGGATAAAACTATTTTGCTGGAAGGAACGTGATTCATTCATAGTTATGAAAAGTGAAACAAATGTTATTAAAACATGAGACCTTTGAAATATATTATAGTAGAAACTGTTATGCCAGCAGTTAAATGTGATTCCTGAGCAAAATTTACTAGCACAGTTCTTTTGATTAAAATCTCCTTTGATAACTGTTTTCTCTTCAATTTCAAAAATAAGAATAATCAATCTTGCTATACAACAGCTATTGTAAACCAATGGAGGAGGTGGCCACCATTTCCACTGCATTATTTCTACCACATAATCAGTTCCTGATAACTATTACTCTCTTCCAAGAAAAAAACCAAGTCTCCTAAGGCCTTGGATTCCTGTACTTTGTTGCTGGTTAGTATTTCATTCCTTTCTATGTTCCACCAGGGCCCTCTGTGTGAAGAAAGAGTGTCCCGAATGCAATAAGCATGGCGACTGACATCACAGTTTTACTTGATTCTCAGCACCTTCCAGATGCTCTCTAATTCAGGCAATATTTAATTTTAAAAGGCAGTGTCCTTTTTCCCCAAAAACACAGAGAGGAATGATTTTCAATTAATAAAGCAGACTCTTTCCTCTAATTGATTCTTTCCTAGAAAACACCATGGAAGGCCTGTGAGGAATGCATAATATCAACAGATTTCACATTTCAGTTTAAAAGTCAAAGAAACTAGCCTTTCCAAGAAATCTCAAATGATAAAATATTTTGCAACCTGAAGATAATTGGCCATTAAAAACATGCTCACACTTTCAATGTGATATGAATTTTAACTTCTTTGTATTGTAATTATTCTACACTATGTAATATCAATGGCTAATCTTGAAGAATTCAAGATTTATTCCACATGTAAGTTTTGTGATATAGATTGCATTGTGAGAATTGGTTAGACAGTTTACCTTGTCATCACATTTGTAAGTGTTCTTCCCAGTACAAATTCTCTGGTAAATCTTGAGAACACATCTTTGGTAAGTGAACTTTCCAGGTTCACTACATTTGACTGGTTTTTATTGAATAAAAACCTCTCGTGACAACAGAATTATGAATGCTTGACATGAAGACTTACTACATACATTACTGAGGTTTCACTCCAGTGTAAATCCTCTGAAGTTCCACAGTTTTGATGCAAGGTTAAAAGACTTAGCATTTACCTTACCTTCATACGTTTCAACAAAAGTGTTTTCCTTGAATTTTGAGACCCGGGAGAAGTCTCTCATATACACTATGTCGTATACATTATGTCATATACATTATTGTGTCATGTACCTTATGACTATATTCAATTGTGCTTTACTATGGCTTCCCTGATGTTAATTAATGCTTCAATTCATAATGAAGGGTTGCCTACCCTCAGTTTGTAAGGTTTCTCTGAAGTATGAAATCTCCAATGCTGTTGAAGATTTAATTATGCCAGAAGAACCTTGCCACATTTATTACCATTGTATGGCTTGCCTAGACGGGATTATCTGATGTCTACTGAGAGGTGATTGCTGACAAAAGAATATGCTGGTCAGTACATTTGGAAGGTTTCTCTCCAGTATGAACTCTTTGATGATATGCAAGGTATTACTTTTCACAAAAGACTTTGCCACACTCCTTACATTTGTAAGGATCCTCACTAGTATGAATTAACAGATGTTGTGCAAGGCTTGAATTGCAAGGAAACACCTTGCAACATTCACTATAGTTGTAAGGTTGCTTTCTGGTATGAATTCCCCAATGATTTCCTACAGATGATTTGTAATGGAAGCCTTCGCCACATTGATTACATTTATAAGGTTTCTCTCCACTATGGTTTAACTGATGGTCAGTAAGCCTTGAATGTAAAGAAAGGGCTTTGCCACATTCATTACATTTGTAAGGTTTCTCTCAGTATGAATTAGTAGATGCTGTTCAAGGCTTGCATTTTTACGGAACACCTTACCACATGTATTACATTTGTTAAGATTCTCTCCAGTATGAATTCTCCGATGCTTAGCAAGATATGAATGTTGACCGAATTCCTTGCCACATTCATTACATTTGTAAGGTTTCTCCCCAGTATGAGTTCTCTGATGAGATGCAAGATGTGAATGTTGACTGAACATCTTGCCACATTCGTTACATTTGTAAGGTTTCTCTCCAGTGTGAATTGTCCGATGACATGCAAGGCTTGAATTTTGACTGAAAACCTTGCCACATTCATTACATTTGTAAGGTTTCTCTCCAGTATGGATTACTTGATGCTTAATAAGTGTTGATCGCAAACTAAAAGCTTTGCCACATTCATTACACTTGTAAGGTTTCTCTCCAGTATGAATTCTACAGTGACTTGCAAGGTTTGAATGTTGCCTGAACACCTTCCCACATTCGGTACATTTGTAAGGTTTCTCTCCAGTATGAATTCTCCAGTGTTTTGCTAGGGATGACTTATAAATAAAGCCTCTGCCACACTCATTACATTTGTAAGGCTTCTCTCCAGAATGAATTCTCTGATGCTGTGCAAGGTGTGAATTGTGTTTGAAGAACTTGCCACATTCATTACATTTGTAAGGTTTCTCTCCAGAATGAATTCTCTGATGTCGTGCAAGGTGTGAATTATGTTTGAAGAACTTGCCACATTCATTACATTTGGAAGGTTTCTCTCCAGTGTGAATTCTCAGATGACATACAAGAACTGCTTTTTTATTGAAGACCTTCCCACATGTGTCACATTTAAATTGTTTCTCCCCACTACAGATTATTTGGTGCACAGTAAGTTGTGAGCATTGATTAAAGGCCTTGCCACATTCATTACATTTGTAAGGTTTCTCTCCAGTATGGATTACCTGATGCTTAATAAGTGTTGACTGCAGACTAAAGGCTTTGCCACATACATTACACTTGTGAGGTTTTTCTCCAGTATGAATTTTCCAGTGATTTGCTAGGGATGACTTGTAACTGAAACCCTTGCCACATTCATTACATTTGTAAGGTTTCTCTCCACTATGGATTAACTGATGCTTAGTAAGCCTTGAATGCAAAGGAAAAGCTTTGCCACACTCATTACATTTGTAAGGTTTCTCTCCAGTGTGAATTAAGAGATGTTCTACAAGGCTTGCATTTTTACTGAACACTTTACCACATGTATTACATTTGTTAGAACGCTCTCCAGTATGAATTCTCCGATGCTTTACCAGGTATGAATGTTGATTGAACACCTTACCACATTCATTACATTTGTAAGGTTTCTCTCCAGTATGAATTCTGCGATGACTTCCAAGGTATGAATGTTGACGGAATACCTTGCCACAATCATGACACTTGTAAG